ATTTGGTAAGAAGATAGTTTTAGACTCTGGAAAGGACATATGATAGTTTTTATCCCGTAAATCATCCCTTAAGGGGGTGAAAATGGAGAGGAAAGTTTGTATGGGGAATCAATATATTTTGCTTTAATTTCAGAAATAGCGTTTGATATGTTGAATTAATCATTAAGTAATGTTAAGCTCATATGTAAAGTAGTAGAAACCAGTCAAATGGTAGAACTATTTTGACCTATCTACATAATTGTTCTTATATAGATAACACATTACACGTAAGTAATTTGATTTCGGAAGATATTACCGTACACGCAAGTGCTTATCAACGCTATATTCTATTATTTTCTTTGTAGTCTTCCATAACTAAAACGAATAACTCTAACAATGGCAAACATGAAACCATAATCGAACAACAGATCAGAATAAATACTGATACACATTATGTCAGATAAAGTTAAGATAAGAAAATTATAGATTAAAACTCGCAAAGCACAAAACCGCTGTAGATACTTGCTTGTGTCTTCTAGGTAAAGGATGAAAAGGGTATCTAAGGCTTCAAAGATAAATAACCTGAATTTAGACATCTAGGGCAGCAGTCTAAGTTCTAAGAAAAATAATTGAGCATTAAAATTGTAACACACAGATATACATTGTCAAATGTAAAGTATTAGAAACAATTTTATTTCACAAAAAAATCTCATAAGTATTGAAACGCTCAAAACCAGCTGTATTTGAGCTAGGTCTGATATAGTTTTGTAGTTGCAATATTCATGAAACGAAGATACAGAATAAGGAAACTCTGAGTTGTAGTTCTGTAATTTATGCAACAATTATTAGTACGAGTATTATATAAAGATATGTTGAAATATTTCCTACATGTCCAAACAATAAAATGAAATCTTATAATAACTATAGTGGGACTTTATGTGGAACACAACATTATTTTATTTTATAGAAATAACCTGGCAAAGTTTTCTCAAATCTAACAAATCTCTTTCTCACCTCGTAAGTGAAAAAGAGGTGAAAGAGAAAGAAGAAATTTTCTTCCCTAAAGATTCTTAATAAAAGGAAAATCATAAAAAAAAGCATGACAACAATTTTCAATCCAGATTTTATAACGGATATAACTTATTAAAAAAAACTTTTTAACAAAAAAATAAAAACCGGCTTCAAACAAAAGCACTAAAAAGTAAAAAATAACTGATTGGTAGGTTTCATTTACTATACATACCTAATCAAATATTTTCGAAGTCGGTGAGCTTTGGCTAAGTAATTAAAGCCTACCTATTAAATACATACCTAATCAAATATTTTCGAAATCGGTGCCAGCCCATACAAAGCAAAGCACACTGACTCGAAGAAAAACATCGTCAGGAAACTTGAATGTCTAGAACCTAGCAAGTTTTCGAAAAACATGTGAAGTCCGCCAACCCGTACTTGGCCAGCGTGGTGGACTATGGCCTGATCACCCTCGTATTGAAGGGAAGCCTGTGTCCAGTACTGGAATGTTAAAAAGGTAAATACATACATAATCGTACAAACAAGTGTTACCGACTTTAGATATTTTTAGTATTTAATAGCACTTTCCGCTCAGAATTAAATAGTTATTTTATTAAGAATATAGATATTATTTTGATTCGAAATTGAAGATAATAAGCGTCGGGAAACAATTGCCATCCGTTGCCTGGATACAGAAAAAACAATATGTGTTAACAAATAAATAATAGTTATAATATAAAGTCTTTAAATTACAATTCTAATCTATAAAATTAATAAAGCAAATAGTATAGCTGAAAAATAAGTATTGTGCAGTCTGAGACTACAAGTTTCTACGAAGAAGGCGTTTAACACAAGATATTAGAATCAGCTTTGCAATTCAATGGCTGTTCGTTACTAAGAAAAAGAATAAATTAAAAAACTAAAAAATAAAGTATAGAATTAATAAAATTAGTAACAAAGTAATAGGATGCTGAGACATAATATTGTCTGTCTGTAAAAATAAAACAAAAAATAACAAAATTTATTTATTTTTCATCAAGTTTCGAAAACGTCCCCAACTAATAGATGGAGAAAATTGAAATAACAACTTTGAGCAAATAAATATCAGTCCTAAATAAATACTGAACCAAGTATAACATAAAAAGGTCGTTTTTGTAAGCCCTTAACTACACAAATTATTATTTAATTGAATATACCCATAAAACGCTACAGTTTAGTTTACAATTACTGCCATCGTAATTTTAGACTGATTTTGATGGGATTTCCGGTAGAGGATAGCTGATATTATAAGGAGTAACATAGGTTACTTATATTTTAGACAATGAATTAGGGATCCGCTCAAGAATATTAAAACGTACTTAGGGACGCACCCGAGCGAAGTAAGGGTAAGTGTCTAGTATTTCATAATTGCATCAAAACTTTCCTTTTAAACTTTGGCGAAGTCATATTTCCGTAAAACAGATATAATAAAATTTATGAGATCACAAATTCATCTTGTCTAATAAAAAAAAATATCAGCAGAAGCGTGTCACTGTTGTATGGATTCATGGTAATCCTGATGAATACCCCTGCAATACAACTGTCGACCACAATGTATTGAACAATTTTGAAATAAATTTAGAAATAAATGGAATTCGGCCTTGGAGCTTCCTAATCTATCTATACATATGTATAATAAAATTGTAACTTAGCCGAATCTGTACATTAATTTTTTTTGGAAAATCTTATTGAAATAGACATTATTATCGATACGGAGGCCGAATCTATAGTTTTTTAGAACTTTTGTGTCTGTCTGTCTGTTACTGCATCACAAAAAAACCACTGGAGGGATTTTGATGAAATTTGGTATGATGATAGCTGGTTATCCAAGTCAACATATAGAATACTTTTTACCGCGGGAAAATGTCTGATTTCTGAGAAAAAATACAAAAACTGCAATGTAACAGTATACTAATATTATGTAAAACCTAAGAAATTGGTTTTTGGTGATCTAAACGCGGGCGGAGCCGCGGGCAATGGTAGTGTAATATATATGCATAAATACATAAATATGTATTGTAAGCAGTAAACCTACATAAGTCCTTATTATATATTCAAGGATAATTTTAATATAATATTTTATGCTACGGAGCCCTTATTTATTTCTAGCATACTTAAAAATATTGTACGTCTTCTAAATATCGCAATAAAATTTTATCTTTCTGTCTATATAGAAATTAGATAGATATAAAAGATAAAACTTCGATGTAAGTTATTAAAACTAAGTTATTCTATGAGCGGGTTGAACTTTAATTTCAATCCCACATTAGCGCATTTGTAAGTTTTACATACTACTGAATTTTTAAAACATATGTGACAAGAATAATTAACTTTTCTTGGTAAGGTTATATAAATTATAAAAATTAACGTGTGTATGTATGTTCCCTGTGGACTCTTAAACGGCTGGAGCGATTTTGTTGAAATTTTAAGGAAATCTTCAAATTGACCAAGCGAGTGATCCTGCGAAGTTTGGTAGCGATCAGAAGTTTGAACGCGAGTAAAGTCGCAATTATTGCTAAAAGTCTATACAAATCTCCAGAGATTAGTGCATTCAAACAAATAAACAAAGAGAAAAACAAACTCTTTAGCTTTAAAGCCTTTACTTGAGCTTTAACGTCTTACCAAACAGCTTTCAGCCAATAATTAGTAAAAAAATATGAAAAACATATTATAACATCTATTAATTCTGCATGATATACGTATTCCATAGATTTGTAATTGTTTACTAAAAACTTAACAGCAAGTAGTATAATTTCCAATTTTCAATTGTTCTACGAAGTTTCAAGGATCATGTAAGACCTTTTGAATACCGTTTCCTTTGAAACCCAATTATATTTGTAGTTATGAGTTCTTACGTATTTCAAATTAAATTGTATTTTGAAGAAACCATTACATATTTCTTGTTATTTTCATTGTTATAGTTTTAATTACGTGATTTTGAAATGAAAATGGCTTTTGCTTCAAATTTTGTTGAACAGTTTTTAGAAACTGTAAATCAGTATCTTGCTTTTAATTTACTTATAATGCTTCTGCTTCTCCAGCAGACTAACTATACCAGAGTTCGTTAAAACTCTAAATAAAATAGTAAAATCTACAAAGACAAATATATTGTAAAGTCCAGACAGTAAAATTTAGTATATTATAAAAAATAAAATTATATAAAATACATAAGGTTGAAGCTTTATTTCTTAACGAAAACAAAATATTTGAAGTAAAGATCATCTTCAACCATAATACAGTGTACTGTTGTAATACCTTTTCCAAGAAGTTTCTTCCTTCCTTTGTTACTTATCATTAATGAATATTACATAAAAATCGATTAAAGCAATTTTTCTATTGTTTATCCCGAGAATACATACTTACATCTCATGTAATCCCATTTTGCATCAAAGAAAATCTCGTTAAAATCAGTTAAGCTAAAGCAGGACGTGTTTTTATATTATGTATCAGATATATTTTAAGCTCTGGTATCGCACAAAAACCATAATATTAAGCAGTTTCATTCGGAACAGCTTTTATAATTTTATCATGTCCGTCTGTCCGTATGTAGCAGCCAATTTTCTCGAAGACTATGAGCTACATTGCTGAAATTTGGTTGGTAGACCGTAGATGTCTCATGTAAGCTGCTAGATAATTCTATAGCCAAATATTGGGGAACACCAAACATATGGTAACTGAGGGGTGAAAAAAAAAGTCCACACCAGCATGTGTGGTATCTCTAAATAGGTTTTTTTAGATAGATAATTCAAGTTATATAAAAGCAAAAAATATTTATAGGCGACATAAATTATACTGTAATATATTGTTTAAAAGGTAAAAAGGTGAAACGAATAATATAAAAGACATTAATAAAAAGAAGAAAGAAAAAGATATTGCAGGTATAATTTTTCATCTATTACATACATACATGTGTAACTTCTGACAAGGACATAATATAACGTAAATAAATAACTAATCCAGTATTTTAGTTATTTTTCTTCATCACAAAGTAGGCTTTCTGGATCTTTCTCACAAATAAAATAGTGAGGAGTATCACAGTTTAAACTTATGAGAAGACCAGCACTGTCTACTCCTCCACAGTGTTTCATACTATGATAGTTAGGATCCCCAGAGTACCATTTCGAGTATCCAGCTTTCTGAAGAGATTCACCTACGAAAAATCATATTTTTAAAATTTATCTACAGACTTATAAGCATTGTACTTATTATCTGATTTTAAACAAAACATGAATTTAGGTTGTTGTAGAATAGACCTGAAGAAATAATACACAATATGAATCTTTATCAATGCAAATGTGAATATAAGGATACATATACTAGCGACCCACCCTCGCTTCGCTCAGGCTCGTCCCTAGCTAGATTAGCTTAGATTTCCAATACAAACTTTCATCCCAATTTTCACCCTCTTAAGGGATGATTTCCGGGTTAAAAAGTATTCTATGTCCTTCCCAGGGTTTCAAACTGTCTTCTTACCAAATTTCATCTAAATCGGTACAGTAGATTCAGAGATTACCCCTTAAAACTTCACAAACGCACAATCTCACAAACTCACAAACTTTACCTCTTTATAATATTAGTATAGAAATATATCCTTGAAATCAAAACATCAAAATAGAAATCTGCCTTACCATGAAAAGTCAACCACTCTCCATGTTCATTCCAATCACTAAATCCCATATAAGCCTCATCCTCAGGACACAGCTTTGACATCTGTGAGGGGAGGCTATGAGAAAAGCTGGACGCTATTATTTTCGCTTCTGTCTTGGTATTGATGATGGCTAGGTATCCTCCTTCAGCAGCGCAGGCCATGACTGCACGGGAGTAGGAACGTGGAATAGTGTGAAACTTATAGCAGCTACCAGTTTTATTGGAGAAGAAGTAATCTAAAAAAAATATTTTGTTGTGTAATTCGAGCTTTTGTTGTAAATAAATAAATAAATAAGTAAATGTTGGGACATTAACACACAGCGTCATCTAGTTCCATGGTGAGCTCCAAGGCTTGTGTTATGGATACCAGATAGTTGATACACTACACATATATAACTTTAAATACATACATATTATAAATACAAACACCCATGACTGGAGTACAAACATTCGTGCTCATCACACAAACGAATACCCCCAGCGGGACTCGAACCCGCGACCGCTGGAACAGCAAGTAGGGTCCACTACCAACTGAGCCAAACGTGTCGTCAAATCGTCGTGTTGTGTAATTAATTTTTGATTATCTTTACATTAAGACTAATTCTTTAGCTCAAAAACGTTTTTTGTTATTTACCATCGTCCATTATTCCACATTCGCCAATCGATTCTTCATCGTCATAGTTTTTGTAACAGACGTATGGTCTTGTCTCTGTACAGTCCATGTCACCAACATTTCTATCAGGATTCAAAAACAAACAACTCTCGTTGTTAAATAAATTATCAGGCTCGTCATTAGCCCAAGTGATTGGAATTTCTGACAGAGGTACTCCTGTTATAATAAAATGAAGATCTGAATGAATGGACAAAATTAATTTGATCGAAAACAAATACCGGTTTTGACTTCACTTTGCAGGAGGGTGTCGGTATTGTCTATACAAGAGTTAAATAATGAGATATTATGTAAAATAGAGGCATGAATAAAATTATTGCTCTAACTCAAATAGAATTCATGGGCATATATTTCATCTTTGACTTGATTTAACTTATGAGAGCCATGAAAGAAATCTATACATATAATAAAATTGTAACTGAATTGAATCTGTACATTAAATACGTTTTAAAAATCTTACTAAAATAATCATTATTGTGGAATGTTTAGGTGGAACCTATAGTTATTAGAATTTTTGTATGTCTGTCTATGTCTGTCTGGGAATGCATCACGAGAAAACCACTTGATAGATTTGGATAAAATTTGTTATGATGATAACTGGTTATCCGTATCAACATATAGGATAGTTTTTACTACGGGAAAATATCTCATCTCTGAGAAATTTATATTAAACCTTAAAACGTCACTTGTAGGGAATAAATTACACAAAAAAATGACGTATATTCGTAAGTGGCACAATATCTTATTCCCGACGTTTAAATTGGGTTGCACCAGCCGTAGTCTCGGGCAGACTCAACCTAGTGCCACTTACAAATGCACGCGCTTAAGTCCCGTAGTATTATTATTATAGAATTACTAGCAATAACCGCGGCTCTGCCCGCGTTCAGATTACCAAAAACCAAATTCTTAGGTTTTACATTAGTATACTCTTACATTGAAGTTTTTGTATTTTTTCTCAGAAATGAGACATTTTCCCGCGGTAAAAAGTATCCTATATGTTGACCCGGATGACTCCAATAAAACTCCAGTGGTTTTTCTGTGATGCGGTAACAGACAAACAGACAGACAAAAATTCTAAAAACTATAGATTCGGCCTCTGTATCGATAATAATGACTATTTCAATAAGATTTTCCAAAAAATATTTAATGTACAGATTTGACTCAGTTAGAATTTTATTATATGTATAGATGGAACGCGAAAATTTAAAAAGTAATAAGTACATATAAATACTTTCCTTCAATTGAATAATAATCTCCCTTAGAAAAAGTGGCATGGACGCCAATAAATATATCCTTTTTGATGTAATCCTGTTTTGCAGTCTTATGTATTGCATTTAGCAATTCATCAGTTAACGGCGAGGCTAGAGCTGCACCTGGAAAAAAAATGTTTTTGATATATTTTTGTATATAATACTTATATTTTTATTTCTGATATATGATATTTTTTTTAATATTTTACGCCTACTTTGAAACAGTTGACGTTAAAAGTTTTCAAAATTAATTATTTTAAACTATTTATTCGTTATACAGAGGCCTATTTAAAAACAATACGAAATTGTTATTTTTTAGTATATTAATCGCCGTTTTAATCTATAGCTATATATAATATATACATATTAAAATTCTAACTGAATCGAATTTGTACAGTAAATATTTTTGTGAGGATACTAGCATATCCTATAAAAATCACTTGAAGAAATATAATAAATAACAATAAAACGTCATCTCATGGAGTTGAATATGTATGCTAAATCGAAAAAAGAGTCGTTGTGATTTAAAAGTCGATGAAACGAAAATGCGACACTAAAAAGAGACAAATACATAAATACATATATAGGATTAAGCCAGCGAGAGAATGAGAGAGAAAACATTGCCATGTTGCCATGGTAATCGTTGTTATTTGTCTGACAAATATATAATATTATATTCTTTGCGTCTATGAGATTCTATAAATATATGATTGTAATATGCCTAATATGTCTTATTGTTTTAATTTAATTGCGATATTTGCCAAAGAAGTTTTACTTTAACCTTGAGTAAAGATTACATGCACCTTTTTTTTTATTTATTAAATAACAATTCAAGGGGTATTAAAAAATTTTTACCTTCTAAATGACATCTCAATCGAGCATCGTGCCAAGTGGCGGGTATCATGTGAAATTTCAACCAGCCATCCACGTCTGCATCGTATTCATAATCACATCGGAACTCATGACATAATGCTAAATGTTAGAAACATCAAATTACTCGTAATTATAACAATCGTACATAATATTATAACTAATGATTTCCCGCGGCTCCATTCGCATAGCGCTCCTTTATTAACGCCCGACGCAAAAAGAAGGGTGTTATAGGTTTGCGTCGATGTCTGTCTGTCTGTGACACCGTAGGTTTCAAACGGATGGACCGATTTCGATGCGTTTTTTTTCATTCGAAAGCTAGTTTCCTTGCAGTGGTTCTTAGCTACGTTTGGTTAATATCGGTCTAGCAGTGTAAGAGTATCAGCTCTTTTCCAAAATGATGTAAGGCATTTTGGCGTTTGATTACTCGATTAAATGCTTCACGCGTGCCAGTGTAATCGTTAAATGACAATTTGCGTAGGGGTTGTTTTTTAATTTTTCATTTATAATTATACTATTCAGGGATTGAACTTCCAAAAATCCTTTCTTAGCAGATACAGACTCCTTATGAGGAATCTACCTAACTAAGAACTCCTTTGATAGTTATTAGATAAGTTATGTTTTGACAGAGACTCATGTAACAAAAAGACGGACATTAAAAGGTGAACATAGAAGATTAATATATTTATTTGAAATAGAATAAAATAATAATACTTCTAAATTATAAGCAATGGCCATAGTTTATAATACATATGTATATACTTAGCCATGTTAAGGCAGTGGTAGCCCACTGGTAACGCGCTCGCTTGGGAAACCGAGCGAAACGGGTTCAAATCCCGGGTCTCGCACCTCTGATATTTTCATATGCGAATCATTTCTAACATGCTACCATTTGCCTTACGGTGAAAGAAAACATCGTGAGGAAACCTGCATGTCTGAGAGAACCTAGCAAGTGTTCGAAAGACATGTGAAGTCCGCCAACCTGCACTAGGTCAATGTGGTGGACTATGGCCAGATGAAGGGAGGCCCGTGCCCAGCAGTGGGACGTTAAAAAAAGGGCTGAATACAATGAATGTACTTATAATATCTAAAAGGCTAAATAATTATGTATCTCTCCTTGTACGTAATATTTTAAAATGGTTGAATGGATTTCAATAAGACAGTCTTTATTGCTCAGCCAAGTTTCAATTTAATCTGTTGAGAAGATCTAAAGATACTGTTCTTGGTTGAACTTCTAATACCATTCAATCTATACATATAATAAAATTGTAACTAAGCCGAATCTGTACATTAAATATTTTTTGGAAAATCTTATTGAAATAGACATTACTATCGATACAGAGGCCGAATCTATATGATTTAGAATTTTTGTCTGTCTGTCTGTCTGTCTGTTACCGCATCACAGAAAAACCACTGGAGGGATTTTGATGAAATTTAGCATAGTGATAGCTAGTTATCCGGGTCAACATATAGCATACTTTTTACCGCGGAAAAATATCTCATTTCTGAGAAAAAATACAAAAACTGCATTGTAAGAGTATACTAATATATAAAACCTAAGAATTTGGTTTTTGGTCATCTGACCGCGGGCGGAGCCGCGGGCAATGCTAGTTGAGTATAAATCTTATAAAAACAAGTGTTACTAGAATAAACTTGAACATTATATATCTATTTATCCTATCCAAGAGAAAAAAAAAATAAAAAAATCCTTTACTCACCTGTACTCGCCAAACATACTATAATTTGAAGTTTAAAAAAAATATCGCCCATAATACAAAAATTACAAAGGACACTGAGACAAAAATACAAAGGATACTACTGAGACTTAAAACCTATAAGAAACAATGGCGTATAAAATATCATTATCGTTGACTTTAGGAATATTTTCATCTAATTAAGATAATCTAAATTTTAACTGCTAATTGTTAAGCATTTATAATTTTAAGTAGGGTATAAAAGAAAATGTATAATATTAAAAAAATGCATGTGTCGATTTGTTCTTATTACGCACAGTAACAGGAGACGGACATCACTATTTTGCCACCAACACTATTTTAAATTTCATCGTAAATAAAATCAATAGTTGTTTAGATTTTTTGTCTGTTTGTCTGTCTGTCTGGGAACGCATCACAGAAAACCACTGCCCGTCCCACTGTAAAAAGTATCCTATATGTTGACCCGGATAACCAGCTATGATCATACCAAATTTCATCACAATCCTTCTAGTGGTTTTTTCGTGATGCGGTCACCGACAGATAGACAACCAGACAAAAAATCTAAAAAACTATAGATTCGGCCTCTCAATCAGATTTGCCAAAAAATATTTCATGTACAGATTGGACTCTAGAATTTTATCATATGTAGGTATATCGCCTTTGTTTATATTTTAGCTTAAAACCCCCACTGTATTTTTGTGAGTAAATCATGTCGAAACCAAATTTTTGCAGGGTATTGAATCCTTTATTACATAGCTATGTCAGTAAAAGTGAAATGTGTTTGACATTTGATGGATGATTTTTTCCGTCGCTAGAGGATTTTAAAATTAAGATACTTACTCTATGACTCTTCACTAACAACGTGACTGCTAAAATTAATCATCCTTGTTCGATATAACCTCGGATGAAAGATATGATAATATTTAGACCTTTTTTATCATCCCATTTCTTGACACGGGTCTCCCTAAATTCAAGGAGGACCAGGTCGGGCCACTACACCGGCCAAATAGAGATTCGCGGACATCACATGTTGTGAAAACTAGTTAAGTTCTCTCAGACATGCAGGTTTCTTCACGATGTTTTCCTTCACCGTAAGACTAGTGATAATCATGCAAATGATTCGCACATGAAAATATCAGACGTGCTAGATCCGGGATTTGAACCTGCTTCATTTGATTCTCCAAGCGAGTACGTTACCTGTGCTCAGTTATTAAAAGATGTTAAACTAAAAACTTGTTTCTAAATGTATGAATTTATAAATTGTATTGTGTATGTATGTCTTGTATAACTTCTTCTGGCTTATTTATGTTGACTCAAAAGTCATAAATGAGTATAATCTCATATCCACGTCACGTAGTATCCATCATATTCTCATTAAATTATACTGGAAGTAAGAACAAAAGTTGTAGAATATAAATAAAATTCTCTACACGTAATGTCTTAAGCAATAAGCTTATTAATATGATAATTGTAAAGTAACTCAGTGTGTTACGTTTACACTCTTAAACCGCTGAACACATTTCGATAAAATTTGGCAAGGGCATAGATTGCATCTTGGGATCAGACATAGGCTATAGATGATCCCCGTCTCGCTTAACACGCAAGAGAAGCTACGGGCAATAACTAGCTATTTAATATAATCTTAATACAAAAAGCCATCACATTTTTTTGTATTTATTAGTATTTGGGAAAAATGAATTTATAACCACTCGTACTTAGTAATAACTACAAATTTTATTAAAAAGTAATTTTGTACAATAAATAATTTTATTATTGTCTAATTTCTTACGCACAGATTTACGCGAATATTTGACATTTTAAATAAAACTATCATTTCGTAAAAATCCGAAAAGAAAGTTTTATTTAAAATAAAACTTTACTTGTGATAGAGTCACAGACTAATTTATACAACAGAACTATATATTTATATATCATGACACGTTTGGCTCAGTTTGTAGTGACCCTAATAGCTGTGCTAGCTGTCGCGGGTTCGGGTCCCGCTGGAGACATTCATTTGAGTGATGAGCACGAATATTTGTACTCCAGTCACGGGTGTTTATATTAATAATGTTTAAAGTTATATATGAGTAGTGTATTAACTATCTGGTATTCTTAACACAAGCCTCGTAGCTTATCGCTGGGAATTGGGCTGGGACCTAGATGGTGCTGTGTGTTAATGTTCCAACATATTTATTTTATCACCTTTACTGCAAAAATTGACTCCATTAATTCAAAAAATACCTTTGTATTTTTCTGTTTTTGTTCGTTTTGCATTCAATTTATTGTGTTACATTGTTTTACACGTCTAATATTATTGTTTTGAAAAAGTCCAGATTTTAATGGGAATGAGATAAAGTCCAGACACATGAATTATAAGCGGATTTCTTTTATCTTATTATTAGAACCGAATCCCGACTTAATTTATCCCGGGGGATCTCTTGACATACTCTCGTAGTGCGTAGTGCTCTCTTTAATGATACTGCTTTGTGAACGAATATCGTAGAATCTTTTATGGGTGCTTGTAAAATTTTATGAAACTTAGCTATGGGACTAATATTATAGATCTGAAAGTTAGTATGTTTGTTATTCGTTTTCACTGGACGGTTTTTGATAAAATTTAGTACAGAGACTATGGCATGGAGTAAATCGCTAACTACGGAAGAACTAGTTTTTTAAATTCATAATTTTATATATAAACTAGCGACTAACCCTTACTCCACTCGGATTCGTCCCTAGTTAAGTCTTAATGTTTAGTAAGTATAGATCTCATAGATAAGATATTTTCCCGCAATAAAAAGTATCCATATGTTGACCCGTGTAACCAGCTATTGTCATACCAAATTTCATCAAAATCTGTCCGGTGGTTTTTTCGTGATGCATTCCCAGACAGACAGACAGACAGACAGACAGACAGACAGACAGTCAAAAATTTTAAACACTAAATTCGTCCTATATATCGATAAATAATACTGATTCAAGAAGATTTACCAAAAATATTTAATGTACAGATTCGACTCGGTTAGAATTTTATATGTCTACGAGTATATATAGATAGCTAAATTCATTCCCTAATACACATATATAGGTAATTATGGGCAAATGCAAAACAGTTCAGTAGGTACCTTTTTTCCTCTGTTTATGAGCCTATTTCCTTTTTCTCTTTGTTTAATAGTTAAGTCGTTAATAAAAACGAAGCAACATAGGATCATACATACAAACACACGCGCATGGACGCCCGTACGCACTACGGTCCAATTTCGATCACTGGGAACACTAGTTTGATATACATTAGTTTTACTAGTTTATTGTAGATTTCCGAGATAAAAAGTATTCTATGTTCTTTCCAGGGTCTCAAACTATCTTCTTACCAAATTTCATCTAAATCGGTTAAGTAGATCCCGAGATTACCCCCTACAACGACACAAACTTTACCTCTTTATAATATTAGTATAGATCATGTGTATGTACTCATTCAAATTCCTCATATAAAATTAAGCGACATAATATTTGGAAATTACAAACGGTTAATATCAATAATTAATTATTTCCATGTTATGTTCGTTGTTTGCATTTCCGATCATTTATGGCTACTACAATTAGATTATGTCTGCTCTAATTTAATGGCTATACTAATATTTACAGAATATGTTCAAACTGAATCGTTTTCCTAAAACAATAATTGTTGCTTGTTTGGTGTCGATGTTTTGTTAATATTATATTCGTTTTACCACAGATTATTTATATAATGTGCTTTACCAATATATAAATAAATAAATAAATATGTTGGGACATTAACACACAGCCCCATCAGTTCCATGGTAAGCTACGAGGCTTGTGTTATGGATACCAGATATTTGATACACTACATACCTATTTATAACTTTAAATACATACACATTATAAATATAAACACCCATGACTGGAGTACAAAGATTCGTGCTCATCAGAAAATGAATGCCCCCAGCGGGACTCGAACCCGCGACCGCTGGCACAGCAAATAGGATCACTACAAACTAATATATATATATATATATATATATATATATATATATATATATATATATATATATGTATATATATATATATATATATATATATATATATATATATATATGTGTAACGGAAGTCTTTCTAAATACCACGATTTTGGCTTCAACTCCATCTTACATATCTTTTCAATGATGTAAAATATCCGGTTTACAAATTCAACCGTTACCATTTTATTATAGGCTTAATTATATTAACGTACTAAGCTTTAGTTAAACTAATTGAGCTAGACGTTTTTGGGTCAAACTGTGCGTAAATTTAAATAACGGTATGTAAATCTGATAATAACATCTAAACCTAAAAATAAAAAGACAAGTTATAAACCGCTAGATGTAATTATTTATTACTTAATATTATTATAAGCACATATGTACATACTAGCGACACACCCTCGCTCCGCTCAGGTTCTTCCCTAGTTACATCTAAAGGTTTAGTATACATTTCTCAGTGATGAGATATTTTCTCGTAGTCAAAATAATCCTATATGTTGATCCGGATAACAAGCTATCCTCGTACCTACCAAATTTCATCAACATCTGTCCAGTAGTTTTCTCGTGATGCGTTCACAGACAGAAAGACAAAAATACTACAAACTATAGAGTCGGCCTCTGTATCGATAATAATGACTATTTCAATAAGGTTTTCCAAAAAAATATTTAATGTACAGATTCGACTTAGAATTTTATTATATGTATAGATAGTTTACGTACCAGATAATATGGAAATAAAATATTGACCTTATATATACAAAGCAAACATTTTTAGTGTGCAAACAAAATTTAATTTCAGTTCCACAACGCTTGCTAATAATAGCTATGGTAATCGAATTCTTAAGTGCCTCGTAACTTCCAGTCTTCCCCATACTAATATGCCCCAATTACTACCAAATAGGATATACTTACTGCATTTAAAATAAGGAGTACAAATTAAATTTGAAAAAATCTTGGCGTTAAACCATATAAATCTATACAGTTAAACGAAATTGAAGTGTCTGTTTGTAATTACAAA